GCGTTCTCCTCCGCGCCCACTTCGGCTGCACCGACCGCGGCATGCTTCCATGCACCTACCTCGGTTTCGCAGACCACGGCGTGCTCCGCGCCCGCCTCGGCTTCGGGGACTATGGCCTGCTCCTGCGCGTCTGCCTCAGCCACGCGTGCATGCTCGGCACGCGACGAACGAGCGGCGGAGGCATCTGCTCTGGCGTCTCAAGTGGCGTCCTCCCTGGTGTCTCGCATGGTGCGGTCGGCGGCCGCGTCTACGTGGACATCGCCTCCATGCCTGTCGAGGAGCGACATCGGCTCTACTGGCTGTTCTACAAGGCGGTGGACGCGGTCCGCAACCTTTTCCCCGACGCCTGCGTTCGTCGTCCACGGCGCCTCCCAACCATGGCTATGAGCCGCCAAGGGTCTAGGTCGCAGCCTTGAGTAAGCCTGCCACCATCTCCATTCGTGCCCAAGGGGTGTTCGATGAAATGTCGCACCGTCGACGAACTACGACAGCAAGCGAGCAAGCACCAGTGTTCTCTCAGTATGCTGCTTTGATGTCTGCCGTGGTGCTCCATGCTCGTGCTATTGACAAGGAATCACGACCACCGTGCAACGGCCTCAAGCTTGCCATTGATGTCACTTCCAAGCTGGTTACCCCGATGTCGATTGCAACGATGGCTCCTGCAAGCCTGTCTGAGCTGCTTGGTGGGCCATTCAGCAGGTATATTACCATGTTTGCCTCTACTCCTGTGCTGGGTGTTTTGTTGTTGGATTGCAAAGCCACTGTGCGTGAGGTACATCTAGAATTTCAGCAAATGACTAAGTCGAGTTCGGTGATCCTGTGGCCAACTCAGATTCATCAGCGATACATACTCAAGCATGGCTTCGAAAAGGTTGTGGACCTGTGGTCACCATGGCCTCCACCTAGATCGTTATCTCTATAGGATTGAGATACAAGAGGTATAGAGCAGATCCATTATTCCTAGAGTTTGTTCGTTGTTCACTTGGAGTGGTGTCTCGTTCTCCGTACTAAGTTCTTCCAGGCTGCTAGCAACTGGTGCACATGCCGCTGTTCAGCTATGCACCTAGAGCTTCCATGGCCTTCTTTCAGATATTCTCATGCTGTCCTAAAGAACTGTGGAAAAGTAATTGGAGAGGTGATCTTCTTGGGTCAGCTATGCATCACTGAGGTTGATTTCTTTGCTGCTGTGGATGGTACAGGCTCAATACAATGTTGCTTATATGGTGAGTTATGCGTAACCATCCATCCTTGGTTGTTATCTGTTGGGCAGTGTGAATTCCATGATATAGCTTTGTGGTGTCTTGGGGTTAAGCTTTGGTCTGGGACACCAACGGGTCAACAAGTGAAGCTTTTATTTCTCAGCTGTGTAATCAATCCAAAAGCAATGCAACAGAACAAGTCCAAGGATATCTATTACTACAGCACATCCAACATAAAAGCTATGAAGGCCAAGACTTGTCCATATCTACTGCTAGAGACAACAGAACTGCAGGGTGTTGTTCATGGAAAGACGCAACTACTGTGGTCATCTTATGAGTTGTTGTCTCCTATTCAGTTTGCTTCTATTTCAGCCGTATCCAGTCTGAGGTTGCTTCAGTCAAGTGTAGTTTCACTGATCTACAACACATGTTGGGTTCACATGAAGCATTGTGGGGTCTGCATCAATTTTTGGAGCACAACTTCCGGGCATCGTCAGCTGGTCAGTCTTGTACAAATTGCAGAGAACAGCTATCTTTCAGCACCCCACCACGCAGAGTTAATTGAGCGACAATGGGGTAGTTCAACTCACATCACAATAGAAGAGGTGAAGAAGAGGATTGCTGATCTACTACAGCAATACATCAAAAATGGTGATACAACTGAGGCTTGTGGGTGCATCAGAGAATGGGCAGTGCCCCTTTTTCATCATGAAGTGGTGAAGCGAGCTCTTACTCTTGGAATGGAGAGTCCAGCTGCAGTAGCTCTTATTGTCATACATCTGAAGGAAGCATCTGCACAATGTTTAGTAGGCTTTAGTCAGATGATGAAAGGATTCTATCGTATTGATGAGAGTCTTGATGATCTCATTCTTGATATCCTATCCTCCAAGTCTGCAAAGTCTAAACCAACTGTGAAGAATGCTGCAGCTCCACCTGCCCTACACAAAAATGCTGGCAGACATCTTTCCATGAAGGAACTGAAGAAACACAGGATCGTTCAGTTTCCTTGGGATCCCGGTGGTTCCATCCTTCTCTATCGGCTTGGGGGCAAGCCGAATCTTAAGGAGAGAGGAATGTTAGGAACTAGCTATGGTTGGGACAGTCATATGGGACATGGGCCTCGAGCCCAGTCCAGACATTGGATGGGAGATTACATATGTCAAGGGTCAGCAGCGAGAAGGGCATTAAAGATTACAAAACCAATTAACCAACATGTTATCTCTCTTCCTAGAACTCTCCCCTCTTACTGTTCCTCTTCTTCCTCTTGATACCCTAAGATTCTACTACTTCCTCCTCTGATTCCCTCCTATTCTCTGCAATCCAGTACCAGGTTGCTAACAGCAAATTTGGAGGCATCATTTGAGTGCACCAAGAATCAAGAGCTGCAAAAGACAAGGGTGACTGAAAGTGTAGGTAAGAGTTGGAACTTGGCTATCATGTGTACATCTCTTAAAAGCTTCAATGTGTACTTCCTTCTTGCAATGTCCAGTTGGTCATATGATCGCCTTACCTACACCTCAACTTTCTATTTTCTAGCACTACAAAAGATTGATTCCCAAGCATTTCCTGCTGCAAGATGTGCAAGGATCATTCCAGCACTTTGTCACATATGTATAGAAGCAGCCAAGTTCTCTCTAGATTCTAGTTGCCCAAAACAGACCTTTCCGAGATGTGTGCTCTTATCTTAAAACAGTTACAGAATTAACAGGGTGTTTATTTTGAGAAATCAAACATTTTAGATGATGATGTACATCATGAGTCCATTCTTTAAACATGGTAAAATGATTTTATTTCTCGTACTATTACTAAACTACTTCTTCCATGGAACAGAGAGAGTATTAATTATTTGCTAGTGACGAATGAGGAGATAATGGATCAACATATTCTATTCCACAAACCAAACAATATAAAGAGTGAGAAGATGATAACTAACTCGTTCCTCGGACCAAACATCCTATAATTGTGTCTTTGATTTCTGTACAGACTGAGACCCTAATTACGTGTTGGTACTTGCTGGTCATCGGAGGTTTGGAAGGCCATGTTACGGGGGCGAACTCAACGTTAGCCTGGGCCATCTTCAGAAGGAGCAGCAGCAGACTGTGCGAAGCATTTAGAACAAACATTTATAGAGGTCCCCGCTGCTGCTTTTTCGCTTGATTAGAGGATGATTTCGTCTGAACATTTGGTCAGTCAGGTGCTGAATTGTTTAATTTATTATTATACAGTAATTATTGTAAGGTTTGGGTGAACCCAGGATCTAGTTGGTGCCGTACACTTTGTACACTGTGCATTCAGTTTAAACTTGTCTCCGTGAAAGACTCAGAGTGAAGCGTGAGGCTTCGAAACTATTATTTTCCTTTTCCACTTGTTTGGACCCTGTTAATGGGAAGAAAGTAAAGGTAATACTAATTTGTTATCTTAAGCTGTTGTTCAACAATATAGAGAAATTGGTGGACTTACAAATTGTCTGGACCCAGTCTTGCTCATCGTCAGGATCACCTAGCATCTCCTTGATCCAAGAGCCAAGAAATGGTGCAGCCGTACAGGCTTAGCAGCGAAGATAATGTACCCTGCTCCAAGAAACAGTGTACCACTACTCACTTCGGTTAATAATAATCACGACCCGGACAAGTTTTTGAGCGTACTGTATTTCATGTCTCCATTTCTAAAATGTGGTAATATTAAAAACCGATAATAAAATAGGTTCTTTCAAAGTTTTATTTCAATGTTGGGTAAATTTGTTGTAGGATACTCTTCAATGATGGTATTTGCTAATAGATACTACTCAATGTTATTTTTTTGTTAAGAAACACTATTTAATTGTGGTATTTGGTTCATGGACGCTATAGCTATTAAAATAATATTATTTAGAAGTGAATGGGAGAGAGAAGTTAAAAACGACCAAAATACCCCTAGCTATTATAGTACAACCCTTAATATTTATTTAAAAATTTTATAACTTTTCTATATGAAGTCAGACGAATCAACCTTTATATCAAAATTGTAGGGCTTAGTGAGACGTACAACTTTGTAGTTGGCGAGTTTTTTATTTGAAACTATATAAGATGTCAAAACTTTTTTTTAAGTTCTCATAATTTGAAATTCAAATTTTAAAATTATCGAATGACTTAGATCATGGAATATACAAAAGTTGCAGTTAATAAAATTTTAATGGGATAATTGTCTGTTAGACATTCAAAGTGATGGTCATTTACTGGCGGACGCCCACTTTGGAGCATTTTACCAGAAGACACTCTGGTTCGGTGAAATTAGGCCACAGAACACCGTGGACCCGTTGCAGCCGGTTGAGGAGAGAGAACAGCGGTGAAATGACATTATTGCCCCTGCCGCTTTCTTCTTCCTCTCTTCATTTCTCTTTTTTTCTGTTTCCTGTCCCCACCACCCTCTCCGCCACCCGCACCCGTCGTCTCGCATCACGCCATCGCGGGCGGCTGCGCCTCCGGCGGCCCGCTTCGGCGCCGTGCCCTAGCCTCGCGCCTCGAGTGGGCCGCGCCTCCGGCGCTGCTCCCCCGGCGCCCGGGCCCGCACCTCCGACGTCCGTGGCTCCGTGCCCAGGACCGCGCCTCCGACGTCCTTTTTGCCCCTGGCCCCTTCTTCTTCCTCTCTCCCTTTCTCTTTTTTTCCTCAGCTCACCTAGCTGCGCCGTGGACTCCAAGAGCAGAGCACAACGCATAGCCGATGGCCAAATCCGGCCGGCGCTACTGCTGCTACGCGTGCAGAACAGGCGCCGCCACCAGGGGCCCCGCGAGGAGGTAGCGCAGGGCGCTTGAGGGCGCCTCAATGGATCTCGGCCTCGCCGTCGCCAGCATGGGCGTGGCCCATCACCTGGCGCTCCGCGGCGGCGCGCCATGTCCGAGCGCGCCGCTCGACTCCGTTGACGACCTCACGGGGGACGATCTCGACGTGTGGTGCGCGCTGGAGAAGCTCGGGAACGCCGCCGCGCTCGCCACCCGTGTGCACGATGGCGTGGAGCGCGCTTGCGGCCACCTACGCGCTGCCAAGCTCCTAGGGTTCCTAGACAAGGCTAGCGACGGTGGCGGCAATGGCGACGGCGACGGCAACACCACGCTGTGGGAGCAGAGCCCGTGCTTTTGCACGTCGATGCTGGTGTTGGGGTACAACGGCACCATCCCCTCCGTTGGGTCCAACCAGACCAGGTTGGGGGTGGACCGAAGTGTGGCTCAGGGGCACCGGTTGTCCAAAACAGAATTTTCTCTCTTCTCAACCAGCTTAAACCGGACCACGGTGTCCTGTGGCATAATTTCAACGACCCAGAGTGTCTTCTGGCAAACTGCTCAAAACAGGGTGTCCGTCAGCAAATGACCATCACTTTGGATGTCCGTCAGACAATTGTCCTAATTTTAACCTAAGATCATTTAGAGTCATAAATATCTATTTTATTTTCTTAAATTTAGAAATTTCAAATGGCTTCGAACGTTAACACGATCTATATACCACAAACATTAGAAAAAATTAAAATTACAATATAAATAATAAAATAAATATTTAGGATTCTAAATGACTTTAGATATTCTAAAATTTAAATTTCAAGATTTGAGAATTTAAAAATAATTTTCATATCATAAATAATTTTCAATCAAAAAGTTGTTACCTACAAACTGTATATCTCACTGAACACTATAATTTTGATATAAAATTTGTCTTTATCTGACTTCGTTTGCAAAAGTTATGAAATTTTTAGATAACTATAAAAGACTGCATTGTAATAGTCAGGGACATTTTGGTCACTTTTAACTTATCTCTCCCATCCACTCCTAAAAAATATAATTTAAATAGTTCTAGTGTATAAGAGCTAATTACTACAATTGAAGAGTGTCTTCTAATAAATACAACATTGAGCAGTGTCCATCAACAAACGTCATCATTGAAGAGTGTCCTACGACAAATTTACCCAAGTGATCCCTCTTTGCTAGCGGACATGTAAAATGGAGCTTTGCTGGTAGACACTATGGTTGTTGTCAAATTTGCTCCTGAACACTGCACCGAATAAAATATTCATTTCTGGCTTAGAAGGAGAGGAGAGGAGCGGTGAAATGTCCTTTTTGCCCCTTTCTTCTTTCTATCTCCCTTTCTTTTCTGTGAGCAGCAGGCACGCAGCAACGATGGGGAGGAGAGGGTGTAGCAATGGTTGGAGAGCAGCGTGTGGGCGCGAGGCAGTTGCGGACACGTACGGCGGTGACCTACGGGTGGATGCACACGACCTGCCGCTGTGGACGCGGGTGACATGTGCACTTGCGGGGGCGGCTGCGAACATGTAGGAGGACCTGCGCAACCTCATCATGGAGGAGGCGCCCGGCAGACCTAGGCCAGCGGTGGTGCGGCACCCGCGTGGGTGGGCGCACGTGCGATCACGGGGGCAGTGGGGAACCAGTGGGTCCTAATCTCGAGGGCCTAGGCACGGAGGCAGACCCAGGAGGTGCAAGGCATCGGCACCAACGAGCTCCGAGCTCGCGGCCATGGCAGTAGCACCGGCGAGGAAGAAAAGAAAGGAGAGGGGAAGAAGAAAGGGGCAAAAAGGACATTTCACCGCTGTTCTCTCTCCTTCTAAGCCAGAAATGAATATTTTATTCGGCATAGTGTCCAAGAGCAAATTTGACAATAACCAAAGTGTCCACCAATAAATCGCTTTATTTTAAATGTCTGCTAGCAAAGAAGGGTCACTTTTAGTGTCATGTAGCAAATTTTGTCTTTATTTAGTGGTTCAAAAGCACTAATTGTAATTGTTGACGCCGGAGGGTATCTAGATCACACAACAATAGGGCTAGCATGCCCAAGAGGTTGCACGTGACCTACAATGCAGCAAGAACGCAACGTGATCGACTAAACCGATCTAGAGACAGGTTAGGCCAATATTAAGCTCGTTCTTGGCTTGGATAGACTCTCGAACTTCTCCTGGAAAGACCCGTCGGGGAGGAGCACGTGGAGGTTGCCCTCAGTAAGGCCGCCTAGGACATCGCCGAATCTCACTAGGAGACGAGACGAACAACAAGAGTGGATGGAAAAGGGGTAAAATGATGTTTGTAGATTGATTTTGACGATAGGATAGTTGGGAACTTAATCGGTCATGATCATCTCATATTGTCGGTGTTTTGTAAAACGGACTAGTAAATTTATACGATTACCGTGCTGCTCTAGGAAGACAATGATAGCATCCAAAAGACGCGAGGATTTATACTTGTTCAGGTCAAAGCCCTACGTCTAGTCTCAGAGATGATCGAGTGTGTGTTCCTCGCTTGAATGCTCTAAAGTTCTTACAATGGGGGTGCAAGTATGGTGGAAGAGGTTGGAGAGCTAGAGCTAAGAGATGGACTGCCTAAAGGGAAGCTCCAGGAGCCCAATTATGATGGAGAATGAGTAAAATGGTAGAGGATCCCCAAGATGGGTGCCTTGGCTGCCCTTATATAGAGTTCGGGGCCAGGGCTTGTACAAAGCAGTAGGTTCTCTCGATCGAAGGGTCATGAGCCTAAGGGAGGTCCTAGCTAACTGACTTGAAAGCTACGTTGTCTTGTGGAGCACGTCTAGGCATGGTTGTCGTCATGGTCTTGTGGCCACATCGTGACATGATGTGACATGGTGCTACTATGCCGGTTGTGGTGGCACTATAGGCACGATGGTGGTTCGTCAGCCATCCTGTGCGACATGGTCCTCGTCGTGGTCTTCATCATCGCCTCCTGGTTTTCTAGGGCATCGTACAGGAGTTGGTAGCCGCCCTCGGGTCATCGATCGCCTTGTTGGCTTGAGGAGCTGAGGGCCACGATCCCAATCATTGGGGTCATGGCTCCTGCTAGTGTGGTTGGCCTCTAAGTCAAGGCCTTTATCATAGATCCCATCCCATAGCAGGTGGAATCGTACATGCATCTTGTCGGGCCATATTTGGCCTTTGGTTATCGTACCGGTCATCACCGCCGTGCGGTGTTGTCTTGTCTACATAGCGTGGTGCAGGGATAGCGTCTGACTGGACTGAGGTGACCGTTGTCCCCTCGGTCCTTGCGGAGTCAGAGTAGCATGCTTACCTTTTCTAGAGTGGGCACGCTTGGCTGGGCTTGACCTCTCCCCGTTCCTCCCAGGGGTCATGACGATGGGGAGGTCATGAGTCTCTTGCGCATCATGTGGCTAAGTATGGTGGAGGGAGAGGTCATGGCTGACCCTAGCCTTGGCGTCTGGTCTAGTTCGCTTGGCTCAGCTGGGCCTTAGTCATCCGGGCCTTTGCTAGCTAATATATCATGGGCCATGTGGCCCGCCAACTAATTGGTGCCTTGAGACACCCCGGGGTTATGACCCCAACAATAGCTATGGCAAAACCTTCCAGTTTAAACCTGATCCCAAGTCTACTTGTCAGCCATTTGACGCTAAGTACACAAGAGACCAAGTTAAACCCGGTAGTCAGTCGAGCCCACCCAAAGGGAGAACTCGAATAACCATGTTTTCATCAGGATCACAAATAAGTGAATAGAGCTAACAACATTTTTAACCATTTCATACATCACAATGTTACATAAAATTGAAGTTAAAACATAATTCATTAAAGTAGCGAAAGAAAGGTTATTTTATACAAAAGCAGCGGAAATTAACAGTTTTGAATATTGAAGCAGAAGTAGGAATATAAGAATAAAGCTTCTACAATCATGACGATAAAGGAAGCCTCACTGAGCCCACCAGGAGGTGTCCACACACGGCAACAATTAGCTCCAGCATCCACCTGTTACCTGCAATAGGGGAAATAAAACCCTGAGTACACAATGTACTCCGCAAGACTTACCCGACTAAGTGGCAGTAGTCTGCCGACTCTCAAGGATATGTAGGGGGGCTATTTGGCTAGCTATTTCATTGTTTTTGCATAGAAGCATTACTAATAGTGCACCCTTATATTCAAAGTTTTAGCAGTCACATCAAGTTCATTACTTAACCATTCTAGGTAAGCACCTGATCTACTTTCAATCCTGTGATAATCAGTCAGAATATATTTCATGATCTGGCAGTAGCCTCATCAACATCTCCATACTCCAGTTGCTACTACAATGCTAGATAGTGGCAAGTGGTATCCATATCTGAGGAGGGCGACGATTGCAATCGATGTACATCGAGCTGGGCAATCCCAAACACACGCCCGTACTTCCCAAAGGATCAAGTACAAGTCTACCTTTCCTCTCGTACGACCTAGGTCTGAAAGCGACCTGACCATCCTAGGGAACCCACCCTTGAGGCCCGCCCCACCGAGCGGCGACAGGTTTCCACCTCATAAGTTTAACCATGGATATTCCCCGCCTCCTAACAACTCCTCGAATGGCCAGTGTAACACTCCAATAAACTTTTTAGGGACCCTGAGTCATAGGAAAGTACTTAGCTTCACGGTCAACTGTAACTCAGGCCCCTGCTATGTGTTCGGTACCTTCAAACTTAACCAGTGGTCTAGCCAACGGTACGGTCCTTGATCGACATAGGCGGGACTAATGCAACTAGAGCCCCGCTCTGTTGCCCAACCAAGTCCACATCCAAAGTCCCCAGTCCCGCCTGGTCTCCAATTTATTATCCATCTCTGAATCCAAAACCATGTCATAGTAGTCGTATAAGGACCTATCTCTCGTGAGTGACAGCCCATCACTCGACTTCTACCGTAAGTCCTATAGCATGGCATACTATACGATTCCTATCATACTAGCAGGACTCTTAGGATAGAATATTTATGCAGGTCGGTTTCCATCAACTCCTGTAACTTAATGCACATCAACATAATAACAAATGCTTGAAAAATAAGGGTTATGCACCGGGGCTTGCCTAGGTAAACCATACTTATACTATGTTAGTCGACTCCATCTTTGGGACGTGATCCAACCATCTCCATCTTCTGGACATGGTCACATTACACCAGCTTCTGGTTCAACTCAATAGGCCATCAATCCATCCATCAACCACCAACTCACCTAAATGATATGCATAGATGCAAATGAATGCTTAAGTCAAACAAGCATAACAAGACAATTTACAAACACTACAAGACAAGCAACACGTCATCATAGTGAAGGGTAACTAAATGTTGGAGGTTCGACTCTCATCCTCTCCTAGCGACTTACTTGCGAGTTACTATTATCAACATAACACAAGTGAGCAAAACAACCATTTGCATTTTAAACATACAAGTGAAAGCTTATCATACATGTCAAGCACACTTCTACTTACTAAACATATTTTTTCCTAGTCATCATGTAAAACAAGTAGTATAGACAAACGTATATTAACCCTAATCTAAACACCTAACATATATAAAAGCTTTAATAATTATAACCAAGGAATGAAAAGGTGACGCACCAAGCATCTCTTTTTGAGGTGAAACTTTTATTCAAGGTATATCTTAACTAAACAAAGCTAGTGTATGAATTTCATAATTTTTGGATAAGCAGATTATTTACTAGCATTTAATTAAGACTTAATGGTAACAAAAGCATGTGACACGTGATAAATCAATAACTCAAGAAATATGCATTCACTGGACATGAAATTTTT